TCGGCGGAGTTAAGTCGGCGTGAGTAGTATATAATAATATACCTATATCCTTATTCGTCTTTCTATAGGAATACGCCGCCTAGCGCGAACCCTAAATAATCCGTTTCTAGCTAGGTCTTCCTTCTAAGGTACTATTATTAAAGGTAAGGCTTTTCCTAGAATCTCTGCTTTAGTTCCTTAAAGGCTGCCTCTTATAGGGGGCCTTAGTAAAATAGGGCGTTCTTCTTTATTAGGGCCGTAAGTGGCGCCGTAATAGCTACGAAGTCGTGAATAAATATCCTATAAAAGTTAGCGAACCCTAAGAAGCTTTATACTCTAGTCGTAAAGACTAGCGCCTCCTATTCTACGATAGCCTTTAATTTCTTGGGGTCGTAAGATACTCCTTTTTCTGCTATAACGATAAACCCTAGGTATTTAACCGTCTTAACGCTAAACTCGTACTTCTACGAGTTAAGGTTTAGCCTAGCGTTTACGAGGGCGCTAAGCACTCGTTATACTTTCTCCTTATAGTCCTTACGAGATCCGTCTAAGTAGGTTAGGATATTATCTATATACGCGGAGATAAGATCGTTAAGGAACTCCTGTAATAATAAGTTAATATATCGCTAGAATGTTAAAGACGCGCCGGTCAACCTAAATAGGTATACTAGCTACTCGAATAGTCTAAACCGAGTACGGAATATAGTCTTATACTCGTGCGTAGATACTATCCGTATATTATAGAAGGCGGCGATAACGTTTAATTTAGTAAACCACTTCGCCTTAGCTAGGTTATATAGGGTCTTTATAGTTAGGGGGAGTAGATAGCGATCTTATTAAGTAATCGTATTTAGGGTGTAGTAGTTATAGTAAAATCGGAGGCCGCCTCCTGGTTTTCTTACGAATAGTACGGGCGCGGAGGTAGCTAAGCTACTCGCACGAATAAATCCCTTATCTATTAGATCCGTTATCGTCTTCCGTAACACGAGGAGCTCTTTACGTATTATATTATAGAGTGGGCTCTATAGTAAGGCTCATTCGTTACTACTACTATCCTTTTATAAGTGGACCTCGTAGTCGGTGCTAGGTCGGTATAAGGGTAGGCGTATAGAGTGCAAAGGCGTAAATAAGTCGCCGAACTCTTATAAAATACTCTTAGGGACGTATTCTCGTGGGTTTACTAATTCCTTCGTGCTTAGGGCCTTTTCGATATTCTTTAACGATATAGCCCTTAAGCCTTTTTCATATCTTTTTTATTTCCGGTACCGTAGTCGTCTATATAGTCCTATAAACACAGACCCCGTTACTAGTACTATAGTACGGATCTCTTATACTACCTTCGGCTCCTTTTCGCCCTAGAGTCGGATATCGATATCGGCTACTCCGTAGCGGAGCCTTTATTCCTTAGCGTGGAGAACCACGTTATTATATTCTATCTATAAAAGTCTAAGGAAAAGATCCTAGTCTAGACCTAGTACTATATACGCGAAAACGCGCTCGGTATACCCTTATATATCTAGCGTAAAGACTACGATACCGGCGCTACTAGCCGGTTTAGTCTTATCCGAGAAGCCTTTTAGTAGTTATTTCTTCTTATCGACTAATAATAAGTGTATTTTTCGAGTAAACTTTGTATTTATAGCGATATAGTAGTTATAACCCGTATCTATAAGAGTATTTATTAACCGATTACTATTAACTCTTACTTAGATTAATACTAACTCGCTCTATAATAGCGGTTTAAACTCTTCCTACTCGCGTTATTCTCGCGCTATCGGCTCCGGTACCCGATTTCGCACTAGAGCTACTCTTTTTCCGAGTCTTCGATATCCTCGGGAATATCTTCGGATTCCTCCTCTTAAGGGGATATTCGGGCTACCGTATCCTTCTTACTTTTATAGTGCCGTTAGATATAGCCCTTCTTTTAGTAGTTCTAATATATAATATTCGCGTAGCGGTTAGGTTTTTATTAGGTCCCCTTAAACTCGCTAACCTTATTAACTCCACCTATAGCGATATCGCTGTTAGCGTCCTTAGCTAGTTTACGGGCGACGGGAATCGGTTAGTACGACTTACTAGTACCCTCTTATCTCTACGCGATTATCTATACTTTATCGACCTACTCGGAGTAGGTATCGGGGAGATTAGCTATTATTAGGCTATTACGTAGCCCGTTATTTAGGGCGCCGTCGAGGAACGATATCTTAATATAGTCTACCTAGTTATAGCCTCCTGCTTACGCTAGGTTTCTTTTAAAAGTCGGTAGGAAGCGCTTAAACGGCTAGTCGGGTCTTTACTTTATCGCTCTAAGGGCGTTAATAGCGCGACCTTATTCGTTACAGTCCTTATACGTGCGGTCGAGGTAAGTTATAAATTCTTTTAGGTTAAATTTACTATTTATACCTCTATTACCGAAGAAAGTGCTAACCACTTACTAAGGCTAGGTATTTAAGCACGTGTTAATTAAGTACTACGCTTTCTTATTACTACGAAATAGCGGGCCATCGAGTTTAAGTTTTAGTCGTATAGCCTAAGACTAGGTAGTATACTCTATACATTTTCCACTAAATTTTATAGGAACGGCGACCTATTATACCCGGTATAAGAGCGTGGGTACCGGCGGTAGTAGTAGCGGGATAGGTATAGTAGTCTCTGCCTCTAGGGGCTTAGGTAAGGGCGAGGGCGTGACGACTAGGGTAGACGTCGGGTGCGTGGTGGGTATAAGGTACAGGTTAAGTTAAGACCTTTTAAAGGCTACTTATAGCCTAGCGATTATATTATAAATAGGGGCGATATATATCCTTACCGCTTCCTATATGCGTTATAACACGCGTTTATCGATCTTATTATATAAGGTCTCTAAGATTTACCCTTAGCCCCCTAGTAGGCTCGGGGCGAATTGACTAGGACCTCCTTCTATATAAGCGTTAAAGCTTATAATCTTACGAGTTCGAATATATAACGGCTTATTAAAAGTTATCCACGTATTAAGGCCGAAAATATAGATTATTCGAACTAAGGAAGGAAAGGAGGAAAGGAAAAGTCTGCGCGGTATATAGACGGCTAAGTATATATAGGATCGCACGGACCTCGCTAGGGGTCCGTGCTTCTTAGTCCCGGCCACTGCCGGGGACTATTCCGCGGGCCATGGCCCGTAATAGTTAAATAGAATTTTAATTAACGATATAAGGCTAGAAAAACTATAAGTATATATTAGCGGTTATAAAGCTCAATAACGTATATATCTTTAAGCTAATACGAAATAGAGTATACGATTATAATCGTAAAGCGCCTTAGATAGGAGGTAAGAACTTATAGAGGGTAGTATATATAGTTTCTATCCTTATACTTTTAGTAGCGATAAGAGCGCTTAGGAACCGAAATATAGTAGTTAAATAAGCGCTATTTACCGGAATACATACCCTTAACGCACTCTAAATAGGGAGGATTAAATAGAACGGCTATAAAGTCTTCTTCGGTATACTTATTATTATTACTACTATCCTTAGTAGTTTATTAAGGAATTAGCTAGAGACTAGAGTAGACGGATTAAAAATAAACACGCTAAAGAAACTTATAGTAGCACCCTTCTTACCCTTGTTTTTCTTTACACTATTAGACGACTTCTTTTTTACTATAGCCGCGGTATAGGTAATAGCTAAGAGGGTAAGGGGAGCCTAAATAACGCTACTAGTTAGCACACGCCACTAAAAATAAAGCTCTAATACTTACTATATCGCTATTATTATTATTTTTATTACTATTATTAGGAAAATCAGAAAAATTAGTTTAAAATCGTTAAAAAATTCCTCGAAAAAATAACGGCATAAGAGGTTATAAGAGGGAGGATCCAAAAGCTCTAAAACGCCGGTATAACGCCTTTAATTTATCTACGGAAGGCCCTACTATTACCTATTTACTACTACTATTAATAGCACTTTTCCTTTATTATTTACTACTATTATTATTATTATTTACTATTTTACAGCTTTTATTCCTGCCTTTTAACTCGATATTAAGGGTATTACACGACCCTTTAAGGCTATTTTAAGGTTAAAAATAAGGCTAGGTTAAGGTTAGGCTAAGTAATCGTTCCGCTAATCATAGCGTAATAATTAGGGGGTGTATTATATTCTATTACGTGAGCCACGGTATAGTGACCTCCTATTAGTTAGAGGTACCCTACTATCCTTACTTAGAAGGTGGTAGATGTATTTAGGATACGTATACCCGCCCCCTTTTTCTTTCTCTTTTATAGAAAAATACAATCATATATTTCCTGAATTAACGCTCCCTGTAAGCACGCTCCCGTGAATTCAACACCTTTTAAGTTGCGCACTTTTCATGGTATCAATGTTTTACGGTCAACCCGGTGTCTGACAGGAGTTGCTTCGGCAGATATACCGGAGTTCAGGAGGGACTAAGAGACTATCGAATCTCAAAAAGTGAAGCAAATTTCATAATGCTGCGTTGCCCTGTGTCTGTAGCTATTCCCGTCTTGCCATTCCAGAATATAGCTTCATCATATTCCCCAAGAATATGAATCCAGTTAGCCAGACCCGGTAGAATAGAAAGACACCTGCCACCGTGCTCCCCGCGGTTGAGCTCCATTTCTCTATGCAATATCGGTCTCCGGGAGACGACTGAAAACAGCACCCGCGTGTTCCCCCTGGCAATCGCCCGCTATGCCATGCAAAGAGATTCTCGAATTAAACCAAACAGATCCTATTCAACGGTTGTTCTTCTTCCTTGGCACATGGACAAACAAGTCTGGAGCTCTCTCTTTCCAATATCCAGACATCTTCCCACAGCGCAATGTTCAGCGCACCCAATCTGGTATACGCCCGAATAAAACAGCTTGCTCGCTGCAAAGCTAGAGATGCTTTGGTGGGGTATCACGTCCATTTGCGATTCATTCTTTCTTTCTTCCTTCCGTCTTTACTTTTTTCCTTTTCATCTTTTTTTCATCCTATTGTTTTGAGTTTTCATCCCATCACAATCGATTCTTCGCTGTTGGGCTCTTAGTCTTCTCGTTCATCTTCCTCAATGGGCGCGGGTGTCCGTCGTTCAGTCCGCCTCTTAGGTCGGCGGTGCCTCGAGCTGCTGATGTTGCTTGCCGAATCGTCCGGCATCAACTCAATGTCGTCGCCGCCCCACTCGCTGTCGCTGGCGCCGTCGAGCTCGCTGCCCACCGCCCACGCCGGCCGTTCGTACCCCGAGTGCTGCGAGTTGCCCGAGGTGGGCTGGTTGGGAAGCACGTCGATCCGCCGGCGGTTCTGTAGGTTGACCATCAACCCCGCACCTCGGTTCCGCAGCGCCGTGCGAACCGCTTCCGCCCTCGTGTGCAGCGCCTCGAATGCGTCTTCGAGCACTTCCATCCCCTGATAGATTTCCCTCTCCACCTCGGCCAACGCCGCTATCTCCATCTCCTCGTCCCGGGATACGGCCTGGCGGTTCGGATGCGCCGATGACGAGATGCTAATAAACGACGCCGGTGTCGCACCGCGGGAGTATACGGAGAATGGGGTTGTATTGCGAGAACCGGGTATACCGGGCGTGCCTCGGATACTCGGTGTTCGTGAGCCGAAGAACCCGCTGGCTGGTGTGGCGCCACGGGATTCCGCTGTCGGCGTAGGGAGATCATCGGCATCGGCCCCAGACCACAAAAATCCGTCAAACCGCCCGGATATCAGGATCTCCCATTCCGAGGCATTGATATCCGACAGCGTGACCAGGAGGTCGTGCGTATATGGATTCTTGATGAGGTACAGGGCGGTTTCCGCATCGCGAGGGACCTGGCCCAGCCGGTAGAGCCGCTGCAGAGCTAGGCCGCACTGGGTGATGAATTCGGAGTGGTATTTCCGGGCGGGAGTCGGTGCTCGGTTATATGGCTGGAGTTCTCGCGAGCCGCTGATGATGGCGTTGAAGTATGGTCTATCCTCGGCGTCTAGGTTGGTCAGGATAGCGAAGCTGAGCGTCTCGTCATCGACTTCCTGGGGAGGCGGGGCCGGCGTCTCGCCACAGCTATTGAGCCATTTGTCGACGGCTCCCCTGACCTTCTTTGACTGCCGCAGGTAGTGCTCCCGGAACTCCTCGGCGATATCGGGATCGATCTTAATAGGAGAGTCAGGACGTGGGGGCAAATCCGCAGACAACTCCGCTGCTTTGAGGCCGAGCTCAGCCAGGTCGAAGGGGGGCCACTGTGGCAGCTCGATGCGACCGCTGACCCATTCTAGTACCTCGCCCCAGCCGAGGCCTCGGTGCGTTCCCGGTCCATTCGCGCACACGACGCAGCTGCACCCATCCAGAGGTAGCTCTCGGGAGAAGACGTTCTCGAGACGGTCGAGCAGACGACGCGCCACGGACCGATGACCCGTCGCAACGGCAACGGATCCACTCTTTTCCAAGACGGAATTGTACTGGTCGAGAAGGTTGAAGAAAGGCGCAAATAAAGTTTGAGCGCCAGCAAGGGGAGGGTGGGACGGGCGTGTGCCGTTAGGACGGGGAAGGACGGAGAGGAAGTGCTTAGGGACGGGGTGGGGCAAGCCACCGAATTGCAGCAGGTAGTCAATCCGAGGCGCCTCTTGCACATCGAGAGCCGGAGGCGGAGGAGGGGGGGGAGGGGGGCCGTCAAAGTCTGCAGCGGGTGTGGCCGAGGGTGTGATCTCGGGTTCGAGTCCGTGAAAGGGGGTGTATGACTGCTGCCTCTTCTCGTCGTCGGTAGGGAACATGGAAGGCGGAAATGAAGGAGTTTGCGTCGGGGTCTTGGGGGACGAGTCCTGGGCACTCTCGGGTGACGATTCGGCATCGACAAGATCGGGCCTCTTCCCTGTCTTGCTCGAGAGACTCCTCTTGGAAGAGGAACGAGATGGACCGCGCTCGGTGCTCAGACTCTCATGGAGTCCGGCATGAATATAGGCGGGCGTCTTGAAGAAAGTCGCTTGGCTAGACGCCTTGGACTTGGAGCTCACCCTCGACTTATCATCATGTCTAGATCCCGACCGTGACAGGGCGCTCAATCTCGAACTCGGCCGTTCTCTCTTCTCCTCTCTGATGGCATCGGGTGTGTGTGAGTGGTGCTTCTTGCCGGACACTTCCGTGTCAGGTGGGCTCGGGGGCCTGTTCTCTTTCTTCGATCTGGGGGCATCGTCATAGTCCGGAGACCTTGACCGCTCCTTCCGTCCTTCGGACAGGTCGGTGGGCTCGGGAGTCAACGGATCCGCCTTGCGAGGGCTTGAAGTGGACAGGTCCTCTCTGCTGTGAACGGCTTCCTTGCTGTGGGCTTTGCTAAAAGTCGGGTAGGGCAGGGAGATGCGGTCGGTGGAAAGCAGAGAGGTCTTGGAGCGGCCGAATTCGTACACAAGTTCGGAGGTGGCCGCGTGGCGTTCTTTTTCGTCACGGGTACGGTGGTGGCGCCTAGAATGAGAAACGTCGCTGTCGCCCTCCCTTTTCGACTTGGAGGATCTGCGATGCTCCCTTTCCTCGTCGGTTCTCTTGCTTCTGCTCTTGGATTTCCTTTTCTCGATGGGGCGGTCGTCGATGCCGACGTCACGCTCATCCTGGGAAGGCATGGTTAATCATGGATGGAAGCCTAAATGTGGCTTCGCCTTTGCTCGATAGTAGGTCGATTCGAAGTTTGTCCGAGCTTTCCGAGAGGTAGAAGGAAGAAGCACTGATCGATCGGAAAAGACAAATGCGAAGCGACGGTTGGCGTAGGCAAGATCCGGCCGGAGTTGTTCTTTCGAACAACCCAAAAGAGAGACGGTATTGTACTCGCCGGATTAATTACGTCGTTAAGGAGTTCGGCGTTCGGGACCAGCCAGGCCTAAACTTTGTTTCGCGCAACGTGGAGGTAATGAGAGATTAGTTCGGTAAAGGTTAAGACGGTAGGTGAGGAATGGGGGGATGGAGTATGGAGAATCGCGGGCAGTAAAGTACGGCGTAAGGTTCACGGAATGAGGGAAAGCGAGGTGACTAACTCGGACTCGGGGTGCAATATGCAGTGAAAGGAAGAAAAATAGGCCGGTGAAGAAGACTGCCTATTGCGAGTGGTTGGTCGGCAGCTGTGACAAAAGGTTCGATGAACGATGGCGACCCAGATGATTCGACGACAGCGACGATCCCTGTAATTTTGGCGTGTGGAGAGAAGAGGAAGGATAGGAGAGGAGCTCCAGCATGGACTGGGCCGACCTTGACCTTGACCTGACGTGGCACTGGCAGTGTACCTATAGTTGAGCACCAACGGGTGCGTGCCTGTGTGACTTGGGTGGCGGACGAAGGAGATGTACTTGCCGTGTTTAGGAAAGCTTCTGGACACTGTGAATAGAGCCTGTCAGACATAGAAGCGTTCCCAGATTAGCCTCTTAATTCTTCCTGCTAGTATGTCCGGCCACTAACACACAGTATGGAAAACAAACGTGGATACGGCATATATAAGAAGATGCTAAAGTACCTGTTTCCCCACCAGAACCTTACTATGCCTGACCGCCACTGCACTGCTTCAGTGTTCCTTCCCTACCTTATTCCCCATCTTTTTACACTCAGTATCCGTACTTTGCAGACCTTTGTAGGCAGGTACGATACTACGTGCTTGCCGGTCTTTTCAGTGCCTTCCTACCTTACCTTACCTTATCCTTCATGGTGCCTGCTATATTGGGAGGTCCCATCAGATCAGGCACCAAAACGGGCACCACACATAGTACCGAGACCCAATCACCTTGAACCCCTCACGAGTTGAACCAACAAACGGTCATTAAGCGCCCGTCTCTCACCTTCTTCCTTCTTCCACCTTCCACCCTCCACCGCCATCATCACATCACCGCCTCCAACGCGATAACTGCGCTCGCACCATTCTGCAGATCTTGAAATTAGGGATCCCTAAAACTACCGTCACGTCAACGGGCCTAGCGCGTATCCTATACATCATCACGACACTCGCATAACAACGGATAGCGTCGAAATGCAACCTCTCCAGACCGAAGTTCGGTCCGAGTCTTGTCTATTTCTTGCTCCGTACGACACTCCCAATTCCAATATCATGTCCTTCGATATTTCATGCCAAACAAGATGCCAACCGACTCTAATATTCTTTTTCCCTCCCAAATGAGAGCCCAAGCATTCCCGGTGCTAGAGAGCGTCCTTACTCCCTTTGAATCATTCCATCATCCATGTGTACAGTTCTGTCTCTTGCCCCAACGTTGTGACTCGTGATATCCTCCAAAGAGCCCCGTTCAACCACCCCAGAAGAAGAAAAAGGAAAGGAAATTATAGCCTGTCTAGCAGACCTTGGCTCTCAAGCAGCAAGACGATCTGGTGCACGATGGACCGCACGGTTTGCTTCTCGCAGTCGACAACCAAGTCGGGCTTGACGGGGTTCTCATACGGGTCGTCGACGCCCGTGAAACCCTTGATCTCACCGGCCCGGGCCTTCTTGTAGATGCCCCGTCGGTCCGTCTTCTCGGCGTACTCGAGCGGCGTTGCCACATGAACGAGGAAGAAGGGGCCCGACTTCTCCACCAGCTCCCGGGCTTGCTGACGCGCCTCTTCGTAGGGCGCGATGGGAGCCGCAATGACGGCCGCACCGGCGCGGGTCAACTCGGACGCCACGAACGCGATACGTGCGACGTTCTTGTCGCGGTCCTCGCGGCTGAAGCCAAGCTCCGACGACAGCTCCGACCGCACCATCTCGCCCAGCAGCATCGACACGGACCGCCCGCCGCTCTGGTTCAGCGTCACCTGCAGCGCACGCGCGATCTGGTCCTTGCCGCTGTTGGTGTAGCCAGTCAGGAAGACGGTGAAGCCCTTGGTCGAAGGCAGGGGGTTCTGCTCGCGGAGAACCTTGACCACTTCCGGGTACGAGAACCACGCGGGGATCTCCTTGCCGGTCCTCAGGCGGTGACGGAGCTCGGTGCCGGAGATATTGGCCGTGCGCGTGCCCTCGGGGATCTCGTTGGCCGGCTGGTATTCGTCACGGTCGGGGATGTAAATCATCTCCTGGAACTCGACCATCTTGATGCCCAGCTCGTCCTGGTACTTCTGCACCGCCACCTGGGCGTCATAAGGACCGTAGAAGTCCTTGCCGTGCTTGTTCTTGCCGGGACCAGCATGGTCGCGTCCGACGATGAAGTGTGTCGCGCCGTGGTTCTTGCGGATGATGGCGTGCCAGATGGCCTCGCGGGGGCCACCCATACGCATGGCCAGGGGCAGCAGGGCCAGCGCCGCCATGCCGTTGGGGTACCGGGGCAGGAGAGCCTTGTAGACGCGGACGCGGGTGAAGTGGTCGATATCGCCGGGCTTGGTGAGGCCGACGACGGGGTGGATCAGCACGTTGGCTTGTTGGGACCGAGCGGCGCGAACCGTCAGCTCGCGATGGGCACGGTGCATGGGGTTACGGGTCTGGAAAGCGACGACCTTGTTCCAGCCGAGCTTCTCGAAGTGCTGTCGCAGCTCGGTAGGGGTGACTTTGTTCGTCAAGTTAGTGACTGGGGGTCGCACCTCCCGCCCGAGAGGTGGAGGGACAACTCACATCTCAGGTCCAAAAAGTCGTAGTGAGCTGGTCTCTGGACGGCCTCGACCTTGCCACCAACATAGAACTCCTTGGCCGTTCGGAAGAGATACTTGATACCGGGGTGGGTCTCATCATCGGGGCTGCCAAAGACCTCCTGAGCCTCCAGCGACCTGAACAGTCGGGTCAGTCGGTTTCTTCTTTCTCTTCATTCATGTAAGCCCGGATTCGGGCAGGTGTATGTTTCGTACTTATCGGGTCTGTATACATCCTCAACGGTGAGGATGGCGAGAGCGCGGTCATCACGAAGGTCGCGCAGGGTAATACGGGCACCGGGCTTGATTGCCAGCTCATCAATGGTCTCCTGAGATGCGTCGAGGTTGATGGGCATGCTGAAGAGTGCGCCATCGGCCAGTCGGTTTTCCTTGACCACGCTGGGGGAGTCATAGTTAGTCGCGGAAGTTCTAACCAAGTCAAGTCTTCGAGCCATGCCACGTACCCGTTGTAGTCCTTCTCTGTCATGAAGCCTGGATTTCGATGTTCAGTCAGCCAGGACCACCTTCACCGGAATGCTGAATAACGCACCCTCCAGAGGAGAAAAGCCGCCATTGAGGATCAGCTCAAGATCGCACAGGTGACGTTCGGTCAGGGTCAAGGCGGGCAGGGTGTCCGACTCGGCCAGAAGCTCAGCCTGGCGCGGGGCATCGCGAGCGAAGAGGTCCTTGAGGACGCCGCCGTGAGGAGTATTGGCCATGGTGACGCTATAAAATAGTGTGAATCTGCTGGGTATCTCGAAACAAATAGATTAAAAAGAAACGTTCCGATTTTTTTTTTGTTTCTCCGAAAGAGCCAAGCAAGAGGTTAATTGAGTTTGCAACTTGGGCTCTGCGAAGGGGCACGGTCGGCGAAGGTTCAGACGGACTCCAGATGAGCAGGAGAACAGCGCTGGCGCGAGAAATGCGACCTCAAGCAACTGGACAAGGAGGGAAAAGGTAGGTAGGGGTAGGTAGGTAGGTAGGTAGGTAGGTGGTAAGTAATACGGAGTAGCTGGATGGTAAAAAGGGACGAGAGGGTCCGTCGAGTTTTTATTCAAAGCTTGGGGAATTTCCCTCATTGACAAATTGTCGAGCGTCTCCGGTGACCGGTGGCCCCAACCCGGGAACAGGAGGGGGATCGTCTCGGTCCACTCTCCTCCCCCTCCGTTTCCAACCTATGCGCCCCTCACCCCACTGTTGCCCTGTTTTCCTGTTGTCCTTGGTTTTGTGCCCCGCGGTTCGCTGGGCGAAAGGGGATCCAGGGGTCCTGTAACGAAAGGGCCGTCGGAGGTATCGAGGAAGGCGTAGGGAAATCTTCTCTTAGTTCGCGATGACGTGATCGTTAGCTGGGGGGAAGTGGATCGTCCGGTGCCGGGTCCAGTTTAGATGTGGCGCGTGCAGTACCTCAATATTCATCCGAAGGTAAGGACGGGGTAGATATTCCAGAATTTGAAATGTAAAAGAGAAAAGGCAACGATTCAGATTCAGTAAATTTTCTGGGCTCTATGACATGTAATGTGATTAGCGCAAAAGAAGTTCCGTACACTTATTAGTTTCACTAGGAAAACAGGAATCTCTGTGTCCGTACCCTCTGTTGCACACAGGAAAGTTGCAAAGTCCAAAGTCCAAATCCAAGGTCCCAATTTTCCCCCCACGTCAAATGTGGCTGAGGCAACCCCTCTACCCGTGGCTAGTTACTTGCATTCGCAATTCGCTTGTCAAATGGCGTGCTCATGCCCAGACCCCGCGCTCCATCGCGGATGTTACTATTTGCAGGCGCCTTTTCGGTCTGTAACCCGTCGTTATCTAAGGTACCTTATTTTACTCTTAGTCATTCTTCATTTGACGACTTTAATCCGTACATTTGAATGTGCTCGTGTTCTCCTCCCTGTTTGGCGGGGATCTTGCCGCGGAGAACAGACCAGACTGCCGGCATCTCTACCTGTGTTCGCGAGGATTTGGGGTTTGGGCTTTTACCTCTCCGGATCCGTTCTCGGACAGGGCATCGGTTATTTTGGTGTCGCTGAACTCTAGGGATATTTCGGTGTATCTCGGTGAGAGTCGACGCGGTCACCGGGCCGACCACGGGGATGGATATGCCACGGCATAGCGGAGGAGAGGGTCGATAATTACTTCTGAACATGGACGACAGGGAAGGGAACCCGATGGCATGGCAACGAAGATTGAATGATAATCATCGGACCTGACGATGAGGGATTTGGCCGTTGCGACAACGCAGGCTAATTAATGACAAAAAAAGGACGAGGTGATAGGCTGGTGCGAGGTAATCAATGTGTATTGCCCACCCCTTGCCAATTGAATTGATGGACAGAAGCCAAACTCTTTTTTGACTTGACAGCTTTAAACCTACTTCAATCCGTCGCGGATTATTTGAGAGGCTCCGAAATAGCCGAAGAGGAGAGGATTCGGCGATGAATAGAGGAAAAGAAAGGAAAGAAAGGGAAGACGAGGAAAGAAAAGAAAAAGAAAAGGGGGAAAGGAAGGAGATAGTTGAGTTACAGGTACAGAACACCGGCGAAAAGCACGCAGCGGCTGTTGTCCCCGATCGATCGGTCACAGGTCGACAGTTACGGATAGGTACCGTAGACATTTCAAATTTCCAGGTACCGATGATTTAGGGTGACCACCAGCTCGATGTCGATCAACTTTAATTGCAGGATTCGATTCACCAGAATATACGTGTAAAAGCAGCGTGTAAGTAGCCACTAATAGATGATTAAATTATCACGCAAAGAGAAGCAAGAAGAGCCATCCGACGAGCAAATAATAAGATGATGGACAGCTTCAAATGCGCTTCCTGGCTCGTGGTTGGTCGCTTGGCATCCCACGTTGCCATTATTTAAGCCAATTGCCGTTGCCCCAGGCCGCTTCGATTTGCGGCTGACAACATCGCGCCAGGTCAATAGTCACCTGAAGGTACAGTGTACGGACAGTTCGCCTGGATACGAACAATTTCCATGGCAGCAGCGCCCCTTACTTTCTACTCCGTACAGTTCCGTCCCAAGTTGCTGATCCGATCGTGCCACAACACAACGATCTAACGTCGTGCGCGACCGCGAACGGGAACACACATCATACCTTACCTGAGTACATATGATGAATGTTCATCCATCCTGCCGTCCATTGACTGCCATCACGCACTCCACGACACGAACAGGACAAAAGGATCCCAGTCAAGGCCACGGTGCAACTGTTGTCGAAATCGCCGGCAAATGCTTTCGTATATCACATTAGCACGAGTTCTTTGACCGCATAGTCGTTTCAACAGGCCAGTACCGTCTGTCCGTCCTTCAATACCTTAGTCGAAAAAGAAAAGAAAAGAAGAAAGAAAAAAAAAACCCGCCAAGCTCCCGAAGCTCCCAAACCTCCCGACCCTGCCGAACCTCGCGACACCGACCCTTTGGTTGCGACCTCCCTTGCGCTCACAGGGGAAAACAAACGATTAAATCCGGTATCGCGTGCCACACATCGCGTTGACGAGCAAACGAGAGATCCAAATAAGCCTCATTTTGCGAAGCGACGCCTTTCTCCTGTCTTTGTGCAAGGTCCCCGCGTCCCCGAATCTAGACCCAAACATGGATTAGGCAGAGGAGTTCCAACACATCACCGCCCCGTCTCCTGGTCCCCCGACTTGGGCATGACTTGGAACAATCAACGATAAACTATACACAAACAATACGCCATGCGCTGGGTACCCTGACCTGCTGAGGAAGAATGCGAAGGGGGAAACTCACAATCAAAAATAGTGTCTCTACCCCTCAGGAAAACCCACCCAATATATCAGCATCAGATCGAGGCTGCAAACGACATCTGTCGACTCACCTCTCGCATATCCGTCATGGCGCGAACTACAGGACCATCATGCTGGACCATGACTGTCCTGCTCGCTACCATATTGCAATTCGTCTCCATTATTGCGGCACAGCAGACCGTCCTCATCGAGGGAACGGACCGTCATAATGTCTCTCGAAATCTTACCGTCGACCGATACCCTTCTCTCTACACCGGTGACTTTGCTGACTGCTTGAACGGCGAGAGTCTGTTCAACATCACCAAATACGATGCCGGTTACTATGCAGACAACATGACTGTTGTGTTCCACCTTGATGGGACAACCAATGTTCGACAAGAGAACCTGATGTGTGAGTATCCTCCCCATTCTATGAAAGTATTATCTACCAGAGCTTCAGCTAATCTCGTTTCTCCCCCTTTCTCTCCAGTGCACTTGTCCCTCTTTGCTTGTAAGCCGATGGACTGACTCCCGTCAACCTCGCTCGAAGCGATTCCCCCCACCCACCAGCATTCTTCGCTAACCTGAGCCCTTCCTAGTTGGCGAGACCATCTTTGATGCGACGCTGGATCCTTGCAAGCTCGAAATTTCCAGGTAACGCGAGATTCCACCCGCCATATCACATCTGCTTCCTTCGTCTTGTCCACCTGCTGATCGTCCTCCCTCCTTTTACTCTAGCCTCTGTCCGTTGAATGCGAATAATCCCGTCGAAGCATGGACCGCAATCGAAGTCACCGTTTCCGAGATCGACATCATTCCCTCCATTTCCCTGGACATCCCCGATTTCGAAGGTTCTGCGCGCCTGCAGGTCTTCGCAAACTCGAGTCAAACCGAAATTGGCTGCTTCCAGGCCGTCTTATCCAACGGCAACACCTTGTCGCACCCGTACGCCATATCCCCCGCTCTCGGCGGTCTTACTGCCCTTGCTATTTTATCTTCCTTTGCCGCCGCCGTCTACGGCGTCAGCATCCCTCATATGCGGACTCACTACGCCCATTCCTTCTCCGTCCTGGTCGTTCTTGAAACCTTCCAGACCATCTATTTCTCCGGCGCCTTGTCCGTCCACTGGCCAAGCCTGCTACCGGCTTGGTGGAGCAACTTCGCCTGGTCTGCTGGCCTGATATACAGCCATGAGCTGGTCGAGTCTCTTCGGGGCTTCGCCGGCATATCTGGCAACGCCAGCCAGGTCGGCGGCGCAGGCTCCAACGTCATCAACAACGAAGGGGGCCTCATCCATCAAATCTACGGCCGCTCCCTCGACCTCGGCCCGGCCGCCGCCTCCCAGCCGTCTCGCCGCGCCCTGGCCTACAACGCCAGCGACCCATACGATTACACTTGGGGCGGGAGGCCAGTTGCCCCGGGCATGCCGATCCCGGGTACTTGGCCAGGCTTCCGGGGCACGCTGGCGGCCATCCGCATTCCCATTGCTGGTGCATTTACCGTCGGGTTGATTTGGTGGCTCGTCGCACTGGCTCTGGTCGTCATCTCCGTCACGGCCGCCAAGTTCTGCTTGGACCTGTTGATCCGTCTCAAACTGGTAAACAAGGATGGCTTTGCTTACTTTCGCACCCATCTGCCGGGTTATCTAGCGACGAGCGTCCTCCGCACTCTTCTCGTCGCCTCCTTCCCGCTGCTCACTCTAGCCCTGTTCCAGATGAACCTTGAAAGGCCCACGGGACCCCTTGCCATCGCTGCCGTGGTGTTTGCCCTCCTCTTGGTCGGCTTGGGCGGTCTCGTCGCTTACGCCTGCTACTTCCGCCTGCGCTTCAGCAAGTTCCAAATGGGGACCGACACCATCATCCTTGAACAGGGCCGGCTTTTCAAGGTCCTTCCCTTTGTGGCCGCCACTCGCGCCAGCACTATTGGCGAGAAAGAGTCCGCGACCAAGCGCTATGGCTCGTTGCCTTTCTTGCGCATTCACTTCGTCGACAACGATCCCGACAGACCCAGACCCAGCGTGCACAAGGACGAAGCCTACGTCAAGCGGTTCGGCTGGCTTGCCGCCCACTACCGCCGCAAGCGATGGTGGTTCTTTGCGCTCTGGTTCGCTTACCAGGTCGCCCGTGCCTGCTTCCTGGGCGGCGCGTCGCGCAGCCCTCTAGCCCAGGTCTACGGCCTTTTCATCCTCGAGGTCCTCGCCTTTATTGTCTTTGTCAACCTGAAGCCGTACGAAGGCCAGCGGAATGCCGTCGTCGCCGTCTGGATGCTGGGCATGTCCAAGGTTGTCACCGCTGGTCTCTCCATCGCCTTCCTGCCCGACTTTAACAACAGCCGCATCCTCCTAACCGTGTTCGGCTTGATCATTGTCGTGGTCCAAGGCTTCATGGTCCTAGCCGTCATTGTGCTGGTGGTGCTCGGCATGATCTCGTCCTGGATGTCCCTGCATCGAAACCGCGAGACCTTCCGCCCCCAAGCCCTGGACAGCATTCGAATCAGCTACTACGAGCATTTGCAGAACAAAGCCCCCGATATGCGTCCCCCCCCCCGAGAGGAAGCCAACGGCGCCGCGGAGCCGCGGTCGACGTTCACCGTGAACAGCGTCCGGCGCGCACCCAAGATCGAGGATGACGACGATCCAGAGACTGACGTCTTCCCGAGCCTGAGCAACAACAACGTGCCCATTCAGGACGTGCCGCCGGCCACGCGCCCGAGGAGCCGCACCAACAGCGTCAACTCGCGCTACTCAGTCGGTAGCCTGCCTCGCCGCGCCCGGACGCAGCGCGCGTCGTGGAGCTCCAGGGACTTTGCCGAGTGGGACGCGCAGTTCGAGCGGCCGGACTCGGCGATGGGGGTGGGGACCGCGGGGACCGCGGGGACCGTGGGGACCAGCATGCGGACCACGACCGCCCAGGGCCGACAGCGCAGCAGCTCCCTCCGGCAGATCGCGCACCTCAACTCGCATTCGTCGTTGCGCATGCAGCAGCAACCCGATATACGTGAGCGGCCTGAGACGCCGAGTGCGCAGCGGCGGCCCATGTCGCCGCCGAGAGAAGTTTCCGAGGACAAGTTGGAGCCGTTCCCCGCTCTGGAAATCGTTCCGTCGCGGAGGGATGATGAAACGACTGGAAGGGAGATGGAGGATAATGGCGTGTCCCCCGTCAAGGAGACGGATGGAAAACAATCCGGCATGCCCCAGCCTGGAGAGAAGGAGGAGGAACAGGTCGCCGTGTCGGGAACAGCGAACGAGTCGACTAAGGACGAAACGGCCGACGTCACCCGGGGTGCTGCCCCGACGGATGGGGAGTCAAAGCAGCAGCCCACTTCTGAAAAAGAAGCCGAGGCCGAGAAAACACCATGAGCTGTTTTGTCCGCATCGCGCACACGTCGCGCACATGTCGCGCACATTCTATATGTATACCCCGGCAACACTCGAGTCTTACCAAATACGCCATCACATACATGCCTTCTCATGTTCCTGCACTTGTCCCTCGGCTGGAAAGCGCTGTGTTCCAGTGCTGCCACCCGATTCATATTTCTTTAAAATATTTTCTACGAGAGACTACTGTCCATTCTCCTGATTTTTTTTCCCCCCTTATCTTCCGCAGCTACATGATATCCGAGCAATGAGGCGTTACATGGCGCCCTTTGGACGAGGGGCTAGAATCCTCACCTTTTGCTACGTCGATGATTTTCAACGACTATTATGGTGGGATGCTGACCCCCTAAGGTAGATAGGCCATTTCAACTATCGAGATAGAGCAATACTAATAATGTGATAATGCCAATCCAAGGCTGAAGTAGCGACCAAGTTGCAAGGATGCAGGAAGCCATTGATACCAGACATCTCGTTGTGTTGACTGACACAATGTTGGGCATTACGTTCGGGACATACTTCGAGGCCTAGATAATTACCGTGTCAATTCATCCCATCATGAAGCATGAAGTTATATATATCCGCTTTTCCCTGTACGCCCATCACATGCTCCCCAGATGCTCCCCAGTCCCAGAGAGAGCTAGAAGGATTTTTTTTTCTTTTTTCGTTTTTCTTCTTCCGACAATTTTCTCTACATGTTGGTATTGATCGCTGCTTTTTTATTTTCATTTTTATATGTACCCTTTAAGAATGGCAGCCTCGGCATTCAGAATGCTGGATCCCGCCGCACCAATGACGGTGTTGTGGCTGAGGGCCACGAACTTGAGGTCGAACAGACCACTCTCGTCCTCACGCACCCGGCCAACGCTCACCGTGTATCCGCGGCCGAGATCGCGGTCCAGACGGGGCTGGGGCCTATCGGGCTCGTCGAAGACGTGGATGGCGGCCTCCGGGGCGGACGGGCACCCGAGGGTCTGGGCCTCGCTGACGTAGGACCGCAGGGCGTCCTTGACCTCCTCGGCGGACGGCGGCGGGCGGCGCGCGAAGCGGAGGCTGACGCAGGCGGTGTGGCCGTCCAGGACGGGCACGCGGGTGCAGGTGGCGCTGACCTGGAGGGAGGAGGCCTCCTGGACGGCGGTGGCGTCCGGGTTGAGGGAGCCGAGGATCTTCTGGGCCTCGGTCTCGAGCTTGTCCTCCTCGCCGGAGATGTAGGGGACGACGTTGTCGAGGATGTCGAGGGAGGGGACGCCCGGGTAGCCGGCGCCGGAGACGGCCTGGAGGGTGACGACGGAGGCGGAGGCGACGGGGCCGAAGCGGGCCTGGATGGCGGCGAAGGGGATGACGAGGCCGATGACGGCGCAGTTGGAGTTGCAGGCGAGGAAGCCCTTGTCGAGGCCGAATTGCTTCCGTTGGTGGGGGATGAGGTCGAAGTGGGAGAGGTTGACGGTGGGGACGACGAGGGGCACGAGGGGGTCGCGGCGGTGGTTCTTCGCGTTGGAGAAGACGGGGATGTTGGCGCGGAGGAACTCGGACTCGATCTCGCCGGCGACGTCCGAGTCGAGGCCGCTGAAGACGACGTCGCAGTCGGCGAACTCGGAGGCCTTGCACTCGCGCACGACGAGGTCACCGAAGGGGCCGATGGGGCTGGCTTGCTTCCACTTGGCGGCGTCGCGGTACTTCTTCCCTGCGGACCGGGAGGAGGCGCCGACGGCCACGAGCTTCAGGGAGGGGTGTTGGCTTAGGAGGAGGATGAAGCGTTGGCCTACGGAGCCGGTGCAGCCGAGAACGCCTGGGGAGGTGGTTGCGTCAGTTTTGCGATCAATTGTCTGGCCAGGGATTTGTTTGGAACAGGAGAGGGAGGGAAGGAAAGGGGAAACGATGGAGGGCCACGGAATGGAAGCCGAGGACCCTGTTCTCAACGTACCGCACGTCTTGGTGGGAAATTCGCCCATTCTGACAGATATGTACTTGAAATGAAAATATGCTAATTGACTGTGTGTCTTTTACTTCCGGCTCGAGATGGGAGTTCTAAAGAGCTTCCTGGAAGAAAAGAAGTCTTGACTATTTTGGTTTGTTAGTGGGGTGAGTCAGCGGTCCCATGAAGAAAGAGGGCGAGGAGACGAAATGATTATTCGGATATTTTTCGTCGTCGCCGGCATCGGCGGACGTTTCAACCGAGTGTATAGTTTGCCTAGGCCTCGGGCTAGTTTGCATAGGCCTCGAAAATGACCCACTTTAGAGTTTGCATAGGCCTCGGCTAGCATATACTCAGTATATACTAGCTATAGAGCCACCCGAATTTATACATAGTATATTTATATAGTTAGAAAACAGTGAGCTACTATACGTATAATAGTATTATAGTACTATAAGACTATTAGCTATAGAATAATAGGATATTATTAGCTATTTAAACTATAGTGGGTCTAGGTATAACTTATAGCCTACCTTGCCTAATTAGATTCCACCCTTATACTATAGGTAAAAAAAATTCCTTTCTATAATAACTCTATTTACAGGTAAGCTAGTTACCCTAGCTATTCTATTTTTACTAGTATATACCTGTTACGACGGCTTCCGGTCCTCTATAGTATAGCGGATGATAGGGGACTGGCGTCGAGGTTTTAGTTCAAAGTAAGAAGGGGATGTCAACTAAAGAGCAGTAACTGTCGTTCGTAGTGTCTGGTCGTAGTTGCGTCGTAAAGACTAGGTGTCTTCTTCACAAGGTAGAGTCAAGCGTAGACTAATGGTCCAGGTGAAGACTTAGATTGATCGATGTCTTATTCTCTAATAGAAGTAAGGCCTAGGATACTCTGGTTTATATAGTGATAGAGTTGAAATGAGGGCCGTCTCCCGTCCTTCTGGATCGTGGGGAGCGTTGGACAGTCCATGCTCCAGACGCTCCATCGCCCTCGAACCGTAGGAGCGTGGGAGCGTCTCCTTTTCCCTCGCTCTACCGCTCCACCGCGGGTTCGAGGTCACGTGCGCTGCCACGTGACCTAGTGTTTTCTGAGTCATCCTCCCCTTCCTGACTTTGTGGGGTTTCACTCAAGTATTTATGTGCTAGGTGCCTCTTCCGGGGTGTCGCGCATGTTAGGTCCGTCCGGCCGTAACATTACCTCCCCCCTCCCAAGCGCTGTCCCAGCGGTCGCATAAATAGGTCGCCGTTCCCAGGTTCGTGCCCTCCCTGGGATCCTTCTTACCTTCCCCATGGCTGACCATCATGTCGGATCGCGTTCAGAAGCGTAGCGCCCGAAAAAGATCCGAAAAAACCGCCCTTTCTGCATTCATTGATACTCGCGGTGTCGACGCAGACATGCCTTGCACCTTCTGTTTCCGAAACAACAAGGCTTGCCGCATGGTTAAAGAAGACTCCTCCCGCTGCGGAGAATGCGTTCGTCGGGGCCGGACATGCGACGGAGTCCTGGTGGCCTCCTCCCGTGGGTTCCTTCCTGTGGTCGTCCATCCTCCCCTGCTGACTTCCCGTTCTCCCAGTCACTCGTCTTCTTTCTTCCGAAAAACGTCTTAAGTCGGAGGAAACCAAAGCCGAAGAGGAGTTGTTCGTCCTTCAGCAACAGCTCGCGACGGCAGTGAACCGTCTTACCCGCATCCGGAAGCTTCGCCAAAGGGTGGAGGAGAGGAGTACCGAAGCGTTCCAACGGGGTATAAAGGGTTTGGAAGAAGACAATCACTCGTCGCCTCGTCAGGCCGAACTGTCCCGCGAAGAAGGTTCTATCGTGGGGGACCTTCAGTCGATAGGTGTTTCTGGTGATATTAATTAGTCGGCCTTTGGTTTAGAGGATTTTCGTGACGTTAGTCCTATTACTAGCGTGGCGTCTGGGTCCTGATAGTGTTTTGTCGGTATTACTTTAGGAGTTATTTGCAGTTGATTAGGTTATCCTTAGGTTCCTATATATTATCGCCGTGGTCGTAGTTTTTCCACTTAATGAAATATTCTGTGCCGTCTGGCGTCTCTCGGTGGTCGAGGATTCGTTCTGCTTTATACACGTCGCTAGTATCGACCACGATCGTGTCTTATGTTGTTTTTGCATTTTTCGGTGCTGGTTCGAGTAGTGAAATATGGAAATTGTTGTGTATCCTTATTGTCGGAGGTAGTGATAGAATATAGTTCGTATCTGACTTTTTCTCTAGGATTTTAAATGGTCCTAATTTTTTGAAATCCAATTTGTCGCTTGGTCGTTGTGTTTTGATGTTTTTGCGGATAAGGTAGACGCGGTCCCCCCTCGAAAGGGTTGGTCCCTTAATCCTTGATTGATTCGCGTACCTGCTCATCCGTGTTCTAACCATCTCCAGGTCGGTTCGTAGTTCTTCATATAATTTTTTCATGCTTTTAACTGTTTTTGTCGCTCTTAGTGCGTCTGGTCCTTCCAAAGGTCTTCCAAATGCTGTCGGGGTGTATCCGTAATTTGCTTCGAACGGTGTTTTCTTTGTTGACTCGTTTAATGAGCTGTTGTATGCGAATTGTGCAAGTGGCAGGTATTGCACCCAATTGTCTTGTTCGTACCCTACGTAGCATCGTAGGTACTGTTCTAGGACTTAATTCATGATTTCGGTTTGTCCGTCCGTTATAGGGTGAAACGCTGTTAAATACTTATGTTTCGTTCCTAGTTGACTTATGACTGCTTTCCAGAAATTACTGGTAAAGAGCTTGTCTCTGTCCGTGATGATTTCGTTCGGTGCGCCGTGATCCCTAATTAGGCGGTCGATAAAGATACTTACTAGTTCTTCTGCTATGGTGTTTTTGATATATAGAATGTAAAGAGTGTATTTCGTGAATCGGTCGACGATCACGAATATGCTATCGTAGGCGGTTCCCGTTACTAGATCTTTAGATACCGGAAATCCTGTTATAAAGTCTATTATAATCGATTTCTATAGTCCGTCTGCTACTAGTAGTGGTTTTAGTAGTCCGTAAGGTTTATATCGGCTGCTCTTTACTTTCTAGCAAATATCGTAGTTACGAACGAAGTCCCTGACTCGTTCTTTAGTTCCTGTGTACCCGTATTATTATCGTAATCGGTAGTATGTTTTATGAACTCCTTAGTGTCCATGCATTGGTGAGGCGTGTGCTTCTTCAAACATGATATTGGTCGTCCGATTAATGCCGTTTACCTCTTTGTTCTTCAGGGTAAGAGCTCCTCCTTCCCATTAGAGTATGGCTTGCGGTTTGGGTGATTCGTCAGGTGTTCCTAGTCGGCTGAGTGCGTCTGCGCGACTGTTTTCGCTCCCTTTCACGTACTGAATATAGAAGTTGAACTCGGCTAGGAATTCCGCCCATCGGATCTATCGTTTATTAAGAACCTTAGTAGTGGTGAATTACGCGAGGTTCTTATAGTCCGTGTAGACTTATACCGGGTGTCTTATTCCTAACAGATACGGTCTCTATTCCTTAAAGGCTTCGATAATAGCTATTAGCTCTTTATCGTGGATCTAATAGTTAAGTTCTGGTCCGCTTAGTTTTTTAGATATAAAGGCTATAGGATATAGTCTTCCTTCTGCGTCGCGCTATCCGAGTTATGCTCCTAGAGCCTAGTCGGATACGTCTATTTTGAGTTCGTATTCTTTGTCGGGGTCTGGCATTGCCAAGATAGGTTCGCTAGTAACCCTTCCTTTAAGAGCTTAGAATGCTTCCTCTATTCTTTTATTCTATTCGAAGTCGAGTCCCTTTTTTATTGCTTTAGTTAAGGGGATAGTAATCTTACTATAGTCCTTAATGAATCGTCGATAGTAGTTTACGAGTCCGAGAAAGGACTGAATATCGCGAACGTTCTAGGGTCGTGGCTACTTAGAGACGTACTAGACTTTCGCCTTATCTATATAGATCTTATTAGGTCGTATCGTATAGCCCAAAAAATTGACTTCTTACGTGTGGAATTAAACTTTTTCTGGTTCGACTAATAGGTCGGCGTCTTATAGGAGTTATAGGATCGTGTGAACGTGTTGTCGGTGTTCTTCGAGTGTCTTGGAGAAGATTAGGATATCATCCAGGTACACCATAACAAAGTAGTCCAGATACTTCCTCAGGACGTCGTTAATAAGTGTTTGGAATGATACCGGCGTATTCGTTAACCTAAAAGGCATGACGAGGTACTCGAAGTGGCCTCGCTTCGTCCGAAACGCTATCTTCCACTCTTCTCCTTCCTTAACCCTGATTAAGTTATAGGCTCCTTTTAAGTCGAGTGCCGTAAACTATTATACTCTAACTAGCTAATCTCGTATTTCTAAGATAAAAGGTAGCGGATAGCGGTTCTTAATAGTTATATCGTTAAGTTATCGATAGTCGATATATAGTCGTAGTTTGCTATTCTTTTTTAGTATAAACAGGATCGGATATCCTGCTAGTAATTATAATACTCGGATATAGCCTTTTACTAGTATCTCTTCGAGGTATTCTTCTAAGGCATCTAACTCCTTCTAATTCAGCCCGTAAATTAGGAAGAATTTCGGGTATACCCCTTCCTTAAGGGGTATCTCGTGATCGTAGTGTCGATGTTTTAGTAATCCGGTCTCTAGGTTTTCGGTAAATAGCTTTTTATATTTACGGTACTCTAGTAATACCTTAGCGAGTCTATCGTGGTCGCCTTCCGTGAGTCCTTTCTCTGCTTGGACGATCTAGTAGATTCCTTTGATAATGTTTGTTACGCGTCGGTTATCGTGTTGTCGCTACTATCTCGAAGTCTTTCGTACTTCCTTCGCCCGGGTCCCTAACTCCTGGCGGCTATCTGAGTCTCCTTAAGGCTCCTTCGTCGGTAAGTCTTTCTGCTGTTTTCGACGGATATCGGGATCGGGTAAGGTTTCCTTCGTGGTCTTCTACTTACTCTCTAATCTCCACCGGAGCTAGCTAAGCTTCTAGTCTATATCGGGATTCTATTCGTTAAACCATAGTTCGCTAAGGATAATATCCTTATAACCTATATCGTATACATCGAAC